GGATTGGAGGTCATCGCCGACGCCGCGGGTGAGGGCGGTGTGGAGGAACTTCTTCGACGCGGCGCAGGTCATCTGGAAAAGCGGGCTCGCGCTGTGGGAGATGACCCCCATACTATTAAAGTTCTCCCACGTCCCGTAGTGCATCGCCGTATCGGCGATCAGGGAGAGATGGTGATAATCCACGGCGTAGCGCCGGAAGAGCTTGTCGAGCTCCTCGTAAAAGGCCTGGTAGGCGCCCTCCACGCCGAGCGCGATTCGCATATCCTGAATGTCGGTGGAGGCGATCCTGTCGAGCAGAATCCCGCGGACCCCCAGCGTAAAAAGGGAGAGAAAGGCCAACACCTCCCGCAGCGTGGCGTTCGCGCCCTGGAAGACGAGCTCGCCGGAGGTGGGGTCGTCCGCCTTGCGGGTGAAGTGGACGGCGTCGAACTGCGGCAGCCAGGACGGGAGTTGTTGTTGCTCGAGGGCCTTCTCCAACACGACGGGGATCACCGCGACGATGTTGTTTGGGGCGCGAATGGCGATATTCACCATAAAAAAGTCCTCCGGGAGCTCGACCACGCCTTCCGCCTTCGCCGTCTGCGGGGCTATCGGGGCGATGGTCACGGTGTACTTTTTATGGCGAAAGGTCGCGTGGATGGCGGGGAAGCGGTCGTAGCCGGTGTCGTGGGGCGAAGGGGCGGGGGGTGGCGGGGCGGCGGGCTTCGTCGGGACCGCCATCGCGTCCTCCGGGTCCTCGTCCCGGTCCTCCTCCTCATTTTCCCTGTCGTCGTCGTCGTCGTCGTCGTTGTTGTCCTCGGCGAGTTCCCCGTGGTCGTCGTCGTCGTCGTTGTCGTCGCTGCTCCCGGCCTCCGTCTTGGGGCGATTCTCGTCGTCGTCGTCGTCGTCGTCGGAGGCGTTTTTGGAGCGCCCCTCCTCCGGCTCTTTGATGTCGTCGCCGTCGCCGTCGTCGTCGCCGGTGAGCTCGGCGGGGTCCTGCACGGCGGTCCTGACCGCCCCCGCCCGCTCCGCCGAGCCCTCCAGCGCCTGCACGACGCGCTGGGCGAGGCCGCGGAGGGCGGTGGTGAAG